AGTCATGTTTAGCTTCCTCGACGTCGGATGTAAGGGGCACGTGTTTTGCCGCGAGTATCGTACGTCTGTTTGCCTGTCCGCATTTATTAGCTCGTGCCGCGGCGCGGACGGCTCCACGGATGGTGTTCAAACTCGCCCCTACGACGGTTTAACTATCTTGACGATCCACGACGCATACTATACCTGCATCGGCCACAGCATGTGCGAGAAAGACGCTTGTTTTGGTTCTTAGCAGGGAGACACTTTTAAGCAGGTAGGGGAAACAAGTTGTGTAAATACTGAGCCGTCGAAAACATGCCGCAAATCTTGAAACCGACGACTATAGCTTCCTGACACGCAGGGGACTGTCAACTAATGCAGTCAATGGAAACTTGGAAAACTTGTCAAGCTACGCCGTACAACTTTGCGATACGAACAAATGTTACGTCGTTAGAGGCAGTGCTGTACTGACGCCAACAGCGTCACCTCTGCACGGCGATGCCAGCGTGGGCCGCTCGCGCATTCTACTGTCATACGACGGCTCGGAGCGCCCGTGCGAACCGCGGCCGGGCCGGCGGCGGGTCGCCTCGAGTCGTCGCGCCAGCCCCGGGCTATATTAGGTCGGGAGACGACGGCGATGCGGCAAGCCATGATCGAGCCTCGCAGAGGGAGGCAATATGCCCGCTCGGCGACAGGTGGACGCGACAGCGCGCCGCCCATATTACGGAGATGGCTTGGACGAGTGGGTGACAGCAGCCGCGATGCTGGATTCCGATCAGCGACGGAGAGTGACGGAGAGTGACGGAGAGTGAGCCGGTGGCGCCGGCCTCTAATGAGGGGCACGCTGGCAGGGCCTGCTCCACCGCTGCCCGCCTGGTGCCATCGGACGGACGACGGCAAGGTCGTGACCTCGCTGGGTGTCAGAGGGTTTTACGCAGTGTGTATTCTCTGCGAACGTCAGCTGAAGGCCCGATTTTCTTCTTTCCTACGAGAGAGGGTGATCTAAAATATGAAACGGTGGTGTGCGGCATGCGATCATCACACAATAGTGATGGCACGTGCAGGGGTCGCAGCGTACGTGTAGCTTCGGTGTCACCATGGATAATGAAGTTGTAACACAGTGTTGCATATTAAACATTATGAAACCAGTTCATAACATTGCCAGTGACAAGGTTGACGAAAAAGCGGACCATGCTTGAGGCCAGTGATAACCAAATACCAGCAAAGCTCAACAACCGAGCAATGTGATTGGACAGTGTGTGCTTTCATGTCAGCCCTGCCCTACTGACAGGCTTGCTGACCCGACCCGTCTATTGCACAGCATGGCGCAATGCGCTCCCGCGGCTAGCGAGCTGAACATTAGCAGCAGCAGTGGGCGGCGGATGGCACAGAAGCTGGGACGTACCCTGCGCGGTCGGCGCTAGGGTGCAGGAGAGGGCTCTGTGATAATGAGTGGTGCATTCAAACAGTCAAACTTTGTTAGCAGTCATTTGCTTGCATGCAGTTAGGGCTACAAGGGCGCTAGTAGCTATTTGGATTGTCCAGTAATATTCAAGTAGAATTACAAAGCGCCAATCCCGAGATGACCCCGACATTGCCTGGGGATGTGTCTGATTGCTCTCCAGCGCCCGGCGGGTTTGTGCTAGATTAAACTCAAGTTCTGACACTGATGTCACCGCCAGCAAAGTTAAACGGCAGCAAAATAAGAGTGAGATAGTTTATGAACCAATTTAAGGCCCGTCACGACGTTCCTGCGATTAAGATATCGTTCTCGGAAGCACGCCACGATAAAGGAAGTGGCCATGGCCTCAGTCCGCTTTGAAGCTGACCTCGCCTCAACGCTTGGTGCTCTCGTAAAACAGTCCAGGGGTATTGGATTGTTTGTATATGGCCAGCCTGACGCTAGGGCCGATTTAGACCTTAGCTTGCACCACCAGCCGTCACCCTCCAGTGGTTTTATTCACCTCCGCTCTATGAGCGGGGTGGGGGGTGGGGGTGGGGGGGAGGGGGGGGGGTGCTCAAAGGCCCTTAGTATCTAAAAATCTAAGCAAACTAGAGAAAAAACGGGTTTCTGAAGCTCTTGTGGAACTGAATCAAATAGTGATGTTTGAAGGATAATTAATGTGACTTAAACAGTCCATTAGCACTTTATAGACTTCTTCTGCTATCTCAAGAACCAAGCAATCACAATGGCTGAAGTCAAAAAGGTTAAAATTTGATCTAGTCTGTCCTTGAATGGCCTGGTCTAGCAAAGCTACCAAAACCACAGTGTTACTTCAGAGGGATAAATATCATATTATGAGTCTAAAAATAATATTTTAAGTGTATTTATTATGATAAATATGCATTATTTGTAACTGTTAAAAGAAATGTCGGCAACATGACCATGGGAAGAGGCCATAAATCGTGAGCCGTCGAGGTCAATAGCATTCAAATTTTGCAAGATGTGTGTAACTGATGTAAGCTATGGCACATGCGCTCTTACCGCCGTGTTTAAAACCGTTCAGAGTGAATGCGGGAAAAACTCATCTCTAGGTCTCCGAGCTGTCACCCGAAGAGTCTCTCTTTTACTCTTACCTTAGAATAATATATACATTCAAATAAATTCACATTCACATCAAAGTGCATTCACCTTACAGAAACTTCGAATCACCTGTTAGTGCATGGGTTAATTGATGACCTAGAAACACGACGTTCGGGAACTATTTTCATAGATGGGAAGCTAACAGATGTTATAACGCGCTTAGGACACTTCGTTATAGGCAAGAACGGTCACCCAGAAAAGCAGATAGATTGCAATCCGTGCAAATTGGTACCTAATAATCAAATCTCGTACAAAATCACACAGACATCTAGGCGGATGCCTGCGTGAGTAGCAGCCCTGCGCATTTGCTGTCCTATATAGCGTTATTCCAGCTGACGCAACAGCGCGACACTAGCGTCAGAGCCTTGCTCGCCCAGTGCCGAATGCCACAGTCTAGACGCAGCCACCCACCTCTTGAGCTTCATGACGCGAGGTCGGGTGAGGCCGGAGCCCTCGATGCTCAGCATGCAGCCGTTCAGCTCCATGTTAAGCGGGTTCTTGAATGAGAAGCTGACGCGGCACTCCTTGTTCACCACGCACGGCTGGTCGGCCTGCGGCGGAGGGGCGCCGCTGTGACAGCTCGTGCGAACAAGGGCGCGGCTGGTAGGCAGCAGAATCGCTGTGCACACAAGGTTGAAAACTTCCGCGTTGTTATATTCTTACTTACCTACTTATTTTCGCGTTATTAAGTCCTTAACAAACTCATGGCATTAGTCATTTGCTCTGTTTGGCAATGATGTCGGAGAAAAGGCGATTTGGGTATCTTTGGCTTTTTCAATAGGACCCACTCACACAACTTAGCGCCGTGACGGCCTATAAAATGATTTTATGAGAGGATGATATTCTCAATGCAACCTAAATAATGTCTTTGAAATAGTCTGGAAGATTTACCTCGATACGCAGTTTCGGCTTGGAAATGACAAAATCATCTTCCTCGCTCCACGACTGGCGGGTCTCTACGACATTGGCCAGGGCGTAGACCTTCACCATGCAGTAGTCAACAAGCTTGTCCATGTACTTTTCGGGTGTGATCTTGACAACCACCGATTCAGCTGCAACGCCAGACGCGAGGTTAGATCTTCAGGTCTATGTTATGTGTTCCTCTATGGCGTCGATCTTATGTCTACGCTGAAGATGCGCGACAAGTAACGGTTGTCAAACGAGGCTATTGCATTTTCTTGAAATTCGTTGTGGCACTTTTCTTGTCCTCACTAGAACACTAAGAACACCTACTAAGAACAGAAGAGGGCTGGGGATATTTGGAACGTTTGGTCATCCCCCCCCCCCATGTTACGTGATGACTTCCACGAAGTCACACGCATGACCTGAGTCAGGAGCATGGTTAGGTGGACCCTCAGACACTGAATACCAGAATTTCCGGTCCGTTAGTTTCCTAAGTTGTCTGCCCGGGTGCGACAAAAAAGCTTGATCTGCCATGTTCGGAGCACCGGAGCACCACTCTCGGTGCTGAATGACATTTTTTGTTCGAGCCTGCACGTCGGGTTCTTCCACGCCATTGTCGTCCGAGTCTGCTCGGCTACTGATTCGCCTGTCACCCACAAATTTACCAACTGTTACGGTAGCCGAAGCCAGTAAAAAGGCGCCTTTGACGCCGGAATTCTGGCTGGGAACATGGACTGGTCTAAAGGCTTGATGTACACCCTTCAGAGCCTCGCCTGACAACGTCGCTGACACTCGACTCCAGCGACACCGAGTCGACTCAGTGGCCTGCAGCGCCGTCACGCCACCTTCCAGCAGCGGAGTGTCAGCGTGTGTCAGCAGCGCTGCCACGCGCTGCCACTCGACTCCAGCGACATCGATTCGACTCAGTGGCCTGCAGCGCCGTCACGCCACCTTCCAGCAGCGGAGTGTCAGCGTGTATCAGCAGCGCTGCCACGCGCTGCCACTCGACTCCAGCGACATCGAGTCGACTCAGTGGCCTGCAGCGCCGTCACGCCACCTTCCAGCAGCAGAGTGCCAGCGTGTGTCAGCAGCGCTGCCACGCGCTGCCACTCGACTCCAGCGACATCGAGCCGACTCAGTGGCCTGCAGCGCCGTCACGCCACCTTCCAGCAGCGGAGCGGCAGCGTGTGTCAGCAGCGCTGCCACGCGCTGCCACTCGACTCCAGCGACATCGAGCCGACTCAGTGGCCTGCAGCGCCGTCACGCCACCTTCCAGCAGCGGAGCGGCAGCGCGTGTCAGCAGTGCTGCCACGCGCTGCCACGCGCGCAGTCTGCGTGTTAGTGATGCGGCCACGGCGTGACACCCCGCCGCAGCCGCGTGACTGGGGCGTGGGGCTTCCCCGCACAAGGCAGCTGGGATGCCGGCCTCACAGATACGTTGGTTGGATAGCGAGGGCGGGATGGAGGAGCCTTACAGTGCCGCTGGCCGCGGCTGGCTGATCATGACGACCGCTACGCAGGGTTAGCGAGAACA